CTAGCATGTATTTCATGAACACAAATGCCGTCATGTGCATAATTACTCACATGCACTGCAGATGTTTCCTTACCTCTCCAGATTCAGAGGAATCAGCAGATGTATTACCCACTGTTCTGTGAACAGGTCAGAAACTACAGCCCACCCACTCTTGTTAACTTTAAAGAAGCAGTTCACCTCGAAATTCAAACTGTGATCATTTACTCTCGCTCATGTCTTTCCAAATCCAAATGGATTTTTTTTTTACTTTTTATTTTTTGTATGAAAAAAAAAATATATATTTGTTTTAATATTTTTAGTTAGCTTTTATTTTTTATGTTTTCAGTTTTCATTTTATTTTAGTTTGATTTTATTAATTTTTATTATGCACTTGTCATTGTTATTAATTTATTGATTTATTAATTTATATTTATTTCAGTTTTACATTAGTCATTTTAATAGTTTGTCTATTTTTGTAATGCATTTTTTTTTTGTTCGGTGTCAAGGTAACAGTTCTAATTTTTTTTCAGGTTTTAATTCTTTAAATTTAATTTTATTCCAACTTCATTTAAATTAATGAAAACAATTGTTTTAATAGTTGTAGCTTAGTTAACAATTACAACGGTGTAACGTTAATTAAATATATTTTTAACACTGACTTTTTTTAATTTATTATCATTGTTATTTTTGTTTAAAATATTTATGTTTAGCTTTAATTTGTATATTTCAGTTGTACTTTTAGAATTGTACTCCAACTTGAATTTATTTTATTTCAGTTAGTTGTTAGCTTTTATGTTTTGTTTTTTAAATTGTATTACTTCAATTCAATTTGTTTTATTTCAGTTACTTCCCAAAGAAACATTTCTAAATTTTGTTTGTTTCTATTTAATATTTCATTTTATTCCAGATTTATTTCAAACAAACCATTTTTAATAGTTGTAGTTAACAAATACAACACTTTACAGAATTTACATAATGAAATATATTTTTAAAATGGGAAAATATGAAAATATATTTTAAAATAATTTTTTAGTAAATGCAAAATGTCTTAATTTTTTTATACATGTTTACAGTAAAAGAAAATTTCAGCTTCAGTCTAAAGTAAAGCACTCTCCTGTCCAACATGCATTTTTAGCTTCCCCAAAACTATCCCCTAATATCAGGTTATTAAAGTAATCGAATTCACAATATCCATTGTTTTATTGCATTTAGTGCTTTAAAATGTGACTTACTGCAGTAAAATGTTGAAAACTGTATATAATTTTCCTAATGTTGCTCCTTACTATCCTTTGATTTTGTTTATCAGAAAATTGGACAAGCAGCCTGATAACATTGAATATTGAATGCGATGGAAGGGAACGCTGAGGTGGAGTGGTTTTTGCATTCAGATTCATTGTTTTGTTTGCTGATGGAGGAGCAGACTGAGAATCCAGTCTCCTGTCACGCCATCGAAACACCACGAGTCTGTGTTTGGTGTTGGCTGTATGCATGACTGCTACGGCCACTGATATTGATCAGAGATTAGGTTTTATTTATAGCGTCTCGCGCTCGGATGGCTATTGAGAGGGAGTTAGCCTGCGCTTCCAATCTCATTAGCTTGGCTGCCATCTATCGATTTACAATCTCATTCCTTTGGCTCTATGAAGTGAAAAATGTAATGGCTGAATGCCATAAACAGTTGTCCATGATTAGATGCATTGCTTGCACTTTTCTCAGTGTCCATTTCTTCCACAGGCTTTTTGAAGCATCTTCATATAAAGTGTGATGATATGGCATAGTGGGTAAAGACCTGCCCAAAATATATTTAAAATCTATGCTATAAAATAAATGTTGTAAACGTCTGTGTTGTTTTAGTATTATATTACATTGTATTTATTCATATTTTTTAATTGGCTTTTCATTTTATATTTTTTAATTTTAATCTTTATTTTAATAGTCTAGGTTTATAGTCATAGTCAAAGTTTTAGTAATTTTGTTACTAAAACAGAACTGTATTGTGCTTTTCTCATTCACTTTATATATATATA